ATAAAAATTTTCGGGGCATTACATCCCGCCTCGACAACCGCTATATAATCTCATCGACGCTCGTTCTTGCTAATATGTACCACAATCCAAATATGATAACCCCCAGCATCGATCCCCAAGGTCAGCCCATCGAACCAAGAAGATTCTTCTAATTTTCCCACCTCAAATCTCAATTTGTTTGCATTTTCATTTGATTATTCTATCTGCGATTTGGATTTTATAGTAAATTACAATCTCAACTTCTTCCTACACGATGTTTTGGAAAAAAATGAGAGTTGGGTGGTGGTGGCTGTTGTAGGCTGTGAGTGACGGACGATGGTGGTGGACCGATTTTGGGGAAGGAGAGTCAGGTGGTGGTGGATAGGATTTTTTTATTTATATATTTTTAGTTTAATTTTTTAACTTATTTAATGTAATGAAAATACAAAGTACCATTTTACCTTCTTTTTTTATTTGGTCAAAATTCATCAAATTTTGACTTTTCTAGACAATTAACAATCTCCATCCATTTGGACCCAAGTTTATGTTTTGAAAGATTGGAAATGTGGGTAACACAAAATGAAGGTCGGGGTAAAATTTGCGAAAAAATGAAAGGTTAGAAATCGTTGTTGCAATTTTCCCTAAATATTATATATAGCTCCTGTTTGACAAATTAAGTGAAAGTCAATAATTAATTTTAATCACGTATATTTTGTAGGATCCGCAACTTTTCAACAACACATTTTATCAACTTTTATTAAAATTTACTAAAAATCTGAATTTAATCCCCACCAAACAAAGACATAATCTTTCAGTCAAATTGTTAAGTAAATAAATAACTTAAATGTTAAGAAAATAATAGAGAACTATATACTCGTTAAGATGCAAAGAGAATTACTTTTATTTTTATTTTTTTTAACAAAATATCAACAATTTTTAATGAAAGATTTAGAAATAATAAATCTAAGAAATTTTAAGTTAGGATAAAAAAATTTCTTTTCATTTTCAGAAAAATTAGTAATCGAATTGCATATTTAACACATACAACTTAAGTTCAAAATTCATGTATAAGATTTTGCGAGTCTCTTAAATTGTTTGTTCAATAGATTTGGCAATGACGTTAGTGGTGAAAAATAATTCATTTAGTTTACTTTTAAATTTACTTAAAATAATTGTTGTTGCATCACTTTATTGTTTGTCACTTTCATCTTGAAGTTTGAATGAATAGTTATCAAAATCAGTGTGAACTTAGCGGTTTTGTCCAAAAATTTGGGATCATAATTAAATCAGAACTTTCCAAAACCAATTAAAACTTGCTCCAACCGAGCGATTCATCATTTGGATGAATGTGTCGTGGACTTATGTTGAATCATGATTTAAGTCGTGCAAATATTATCTGCCTGATAACTTACTGCACTTAGTATCATTGAGCCTTTAGAGCCTTCCTTCTCTTCTCTGGCCTTGTATATATCTCCTCAAATGTTGCATTGTCCCCAACCTACTGCATGGAGCCAAGGTACCTCAACCTCTATAGACATAGCCACCAACAAGATCATATAGGAGAGGCCCATCCTCCCACTCAGTTGTAGCACATTTTGCATATCCCTTCTTATCTCACTCAATTCTAAAATATTAGTCATACTGCAACTTTATCACACGATTGTAGTCTTTTTACAACTCTAGTATCTCGCCATATTAAAAATCTCAAACATGCTATAGATTCTAAACTATTAAATCATTGGTTTGAGATTCTACCAGCGTCTTGATTCTTAAATGATTACACCTCA